GCCTCGCCCGGGAAGAGCACAATGATGGTGCCAACTTGGACCAGTGAAGCAACATCCTCCACAACTAGACTGAAGAACAAAATGACAGCAACTTGTCTGTTCCCCTTTCCCCAATTCCCCAATTAAAAAAAAATAAAAAAATAAAAAAATAAAGGAATCAGGAGTTCCAGACATTCATTTACCCCATTTAATTCACTTACCCAAAATAAATACTAAATGCCTACTATATACACACCAGGCACTACGTTAGATGCTAGGACTACTAAAGAGACATGATGTCTCTGTTCTCAAGAAGCTTACAAAAAACAATAAATTAACTACAGTCTGATGCTACCCTTGATGCAGATGTTCTAGGGAGATGGAGGAGGCACAATTAAGAGAGAAGTGCTGGAGAGACAGGCCTGCCACCATTTCCTACCGTGCTCACTCACCTGGTGAGATAGAGGCAGACCTTTGCATATGCATTCTCGTCAATGTCCTTCTCCAGCATATCCACCTGCTCAATTTCCATGAGCAGGTCACAGGCCTCATGCTCCGCATTGTGGGCCATGTTGTAGGGGACAATCTCCTTCACAAGGGTCAGCAGTGGCTCCCGCTGTGTCTTCTCTGCATCATCCAGCTCCTGCCACTCTTTAGCCACTTCTCCTGCTAGATGCCTATGGATAGGCCCAGACCGTTAGGGGAGCACAGTTTCATAGGAAGCGCTTCCCTGTGGGTCACGGAATTTACTGCGAAACTCAATACAGGTACTTCAAGACAGTACTCCAAGGTACTCCAAGACTGAACTCAGAATTATGCCTCAGAACCCCCTTCAGATTACCAAGAAAAGGTCTTACCTGACATACTCATGACCCCATGAGGCCAATTCCTCTTGGGAGCCCACTAGTCGATACTTGAGGCACTCACGCTCCCCACTCATGGTCATGGCCAAAACAGAGATGATATCAGCAGCAAAACGCTATAAAGAAACAAGTCTTTGAAGTCAAATCCAAGGTAAGGAGGGGGTGTACATTATGTAATCAAGATCATTGTCACTATCCCCAAAATTAAGTTTTAACCATCCACCAGGCTCTATACTAGAAATTTACACGTTATCTAAGGTAAGCCTCATGATAACTCTAACGTTAGTGTTGCTACCTCCCTTTTCAACCAACATGGCTAAAGGGAGACAATAAGGGGAGAGTGGAGAAAGATGGACTCTCGATTTTATTCTAATCACAACAATAAAATATTAATTAAAAAGTTTTAAGCAGAAAAGACTCACAATCTAGAAAGATCACTATGGCTGCTATATGAAAGGTCAAGAACAAAAGGAAGAAGGCCAGTTAGGAGGCTACTTCACTAATTCAGGGAAGAACTGAAGATTTCCTGGATTAGCATTATTCCAATAGGCAAAGAAGTGACTGAATTGGAGGTATATTTTAAGAGATGAAACAAATGAATGTACATGGGATGTCAAGAAAGACAAAAGTTAAGGTTAAACGGAAATAAAGAGATCACAATAATGAAATCCCAAGGTCCAACATAAAGGACGGAAAGTGTCTTCTGAGAAGGCAATCCTCTTGTCTGCCCTTATGTGAGTATTTTGACTGTGGTAAGCTCTGTACAACCAGCTCAGATCTCAGGTCTATCAGGCTTCCTGTGACTCCCTATGTGCCCCACGGTCTTGAAGAAAAGGAATTCCTAAACTAGGCCTCCACCGGCTTCTGAAACAGTTTTACCTTATTCTCTCCAGGGGCCATGTTCTCATAGATTTCCTTCAGCTTGCCATAGTGTGGACGCAGAAATTTGAGAGGCTTGGGCACTGAAGTCATGGAAGTTGTAGAAGAACGAATCTGCCTTCGCAGTTCCTCCAGGGCTGGTCGGTACAGGGATGTGTCCTTCTCCTGATAAGGAGATGTAAGGGCCAGACAAAAAGGAGTCGCATCCCTCAAGTCATAAAACACAGGTGTTTAACAACTCCCCTAGGAAAAGGCACTGTCTTTTTCATCTGTAATTCCCCAACTACCTGCACAATGCCTGGCACAAAAACAAATGACCCCAGATAAGAGTTCAAGAACTTTTCCCACGAGAGAAAGCTACAAAATCTTTCACATATCCTTTGTTACTGTCCTCCCTCACAACATCGTCATAACACTGACCCTAAAATACAGTCCACCTTTCCCTGTACCTCGTGTAGGAGCTGTTGCCCCAAAATGGACTAAAACAAACAAGTGGGAAAACTCCAAATACGCACGAGCTCATATTAACATATCATGACTCACCCCCAGTCGTTCCACGAGCATCTCCAGTTCATCCTGAAGTTGTTTGTCCTCCTCAGACTGGGAAGTTGGGGTAAGAAGCTCGTCAAGAGGAGGAATCCCAAACACATCCTCCTCCATTCACCCTGGGGCAAGCGAAGAGCCTGCCTGCCTCCTTAGAGAGGGACTAGTTGGGCAAGGAAAGACAGCGGGGATGGGAAGCCCTGGTGGGAAGGCAGCTTGGCTTCTGGACCAGGCTCTGCTTGAATGCCATTCTAAAAAATGGGGTGACAATGACCCGCCCGGGCCCACCTCACGAGACGGTGGTGAGGGCTGGTGGGGGTGGAGGAGGTGACCGCGCGGAATGGAGAATAAAGGGCAGAGAGGCGGGATGCCGGGAGCCCCGAGGGTCTCCCCATCTGCCCTCCCCCGAGCGCCGCGGGGCCGTTGGGAGCCGGGCCCGAGGCCTGCGGAGCCTCCGTGACTCAGCCTGTGGCCTCCTCCACCGCCTCCCGGGGCCACACCTCACCAGCTCCTGCTCTTTGTCTTTGTCCCCGGCATCTCGCCGCTCTTTGCTGCCCGGCTTCTCGTCTGCGCCGCCTGGGGCAGTCACTGGGGGCTGCTGGGGCTGCACCGGCGCCTTGTCTCGACCGCCCTCCTCCATCTCCACCGCCACTGCCGGCCCGCTGCGCGCGCACCGCTCGCACCTCCCCGTTTCCCAGGTAGCCTCGCGCGCGTCACCCAAGGCTCCCTCCACTCCCAGAGCCCGCCCGCGACAGGAAACGTCGCCAAGACCTAAGAACCCCAGCCCTCGGAAGCCACATGAAAACTACCATTCCCAGCCTCCCGCGCGCTATAAGCACCGCCCCTGGGCCCGGAGTTTCCTGAACGCCGCGGGAGTGTACAGTCCGGAATTCTAGTGTGGTTGCTGCTGTACGGCATGGATGAGCTTGCTGCAAGCCGGGAGGTCGCCCATGTGTTTCTTCATAGCCATGTGATGAGTCCCCACAGTGACTCCCCAGTTGGTTGCGTGGTGGGACAAACGGACGAGATTCTTGAAAGCCGAACGCTTGATTGCCGTCTGTGTGAAGTTTCTGTAATCTATTTGTAGCTCCATACCACTGTGGAATATTAACCTCATTACATTCCCTCCCACCCCCGGTTGAAGGAAAGTACTCCAATATTATCGTGAGGATATGGCTACCATCTTAAATCCACCTGCGGAGGCAGGTGGAGTAAAAATTAATAAAGTCTTATGCTTCATTGCTAAGTTCCGGAACTAAAAACGAAACAAGACAATGTCTTTTGCCCTCAGTCTCTGGTCTTTCTCTCTCTGTTATGACTTAGAAGGGGTGTGACCCACACTGTGCGTCAGAACTGGCTTTAAATATTACATTTTGTTCTCACAACCTTTTAAGTTTGGTAAGGTTGTGTCCATTTTACAGAGAAAATCATATGCTAAGGAGTAGAATCAGGAATTGAACATTGGTCTTTCAGTCTTCCAAGCTCTTCACTGTTTCAGGCAAATCTCAAAATTTCTTCTTTAGTTGGGCTATTATGTATGAATCTAGAAGATGAGAAAGGGGGAAGTAATTTTTCTCCCCTTTATCTGGTGAGAACACTCATCATTTGTCCTGGAGTCATATTTTATGGGTTCCCAGACATTAATGAATGTAGAAAGTTTGTTTTAAAAAAACAAACACACACTAGCACAGCATGGTTAGTACTGAATGAATGTTGGCTAAATATTTATATACATATAGCTATAAAGGTCTGAAGCCCATTTTAAAACTCGTTGCTCATTTCCACTCAATGCTAGGATTCTGGGGGTGACTTTGCATTTGCATCACCAATGACTCCCCAGTCCTGGTCTGCAGACAGAAATTGGGCAGGCTATAGCTGTTCTGCCTTTTCTATCTCTGGCTGCAAGATATCTATACATTGTCGTGCTTTCTTTAGTCATCTGTAAAGATATTTCTCCTAAATATCTCGGTTTTCCATGACTTCCTTCTATCAGTTCTCAGATTTTGTCTTCTATACCAGTCATGTCGCACCTCAGAGGAGATGAGGTGATACACAGGCTGTTCACAGATGAAGAGTATATGAATGTTTGTTGCACTATGTTTCAACTTTTTTGTAGGTTTGAAACTATGTTTCAAGTTTTTTGTAGGTTTGAAACGTTTCAAAATAAAAAGTTGGGATGAGTAGGAAAAAATAACCTTTAGAGAGAGACAGACCTGGTGTTTAAAACCAAATTCTGTCCTTTGTTAGTTGCCTGGTTTCTGCCTCTGTGAAATGTGGGTAATAACATATCTCCCTCATAAGGTGTTATGAGAATGAAGTAAAATGATGTTTATAAAGTGTATATAGGTGCCTGGCAACTGGAAAACAGGCTGCTGTCATTTTCCAACTACCTCAGATCTGCAGAGCTGAGGTAAACTTTTTTGTTTTTTTAAAGATGTTTTTGGGGAATCGGGAAAGGGGAACAGACAAGTTGCTGTCCTTTTGTTCTTCAGTCTAGTTGTGGAGGACGTTGCTTCACTGGCCCATGGTGGTACTCTCATTGTGCTCTTCCTGGGTGAGGCAGATCGGTTGCCGGCCACCAGATGGCCGCTCACTGCGGCTCTTGGCCACTCACACTGGCTGCCGCCCACTCACGGTAGCTTAAGGCAGCCCACTGCAGCCCCACTGCAGCCTACGCCACCATTGCCAATGACACACAGCAGCCCAGCTCCAGGTCGAGCTGTTGTTCATCATCTTAGCTGTAGAGGGTGCAGCGTCACTGGCCCTAATGTGGAATCCAAACCAGGGCCCTGTTACTCAGAGCTGGTGTCCCAAGCCAACTCTTTTTTTTTTTTTTTAAGATTTTATTGGAAAATTGGGGCAGGGAAACAGCGTTGGGGAATTGGGGAAGGGGAACAGACAAGTTGCTGTCCTTTTTGTTCTTCAGTTTAGTTGTGGAGGACGTCGCTTCACTGGCCCATGTTGCTATTATCATTGCGCTCTTCCCGGGTAAGGCAGATCGGTCGCCGGCCTCTAGACAGCTCACACCAGGCTGCCGACCACTCATGCTGGCTGCCAGCCACACACAGTAGCTTATGGCAGCCCACTGCAGCAGGGGCTGCAGCCTACGCTGACGCCGGCAACTCACGGCAGCCCAGCTCCAGGTCAAGCTGTTATTCACCATCTTAGCTGTAGAGGGCGCAGTGTCATTGGCCCTAATGTGGGATCCGAACCAGGGCCCTGCTGCTCAGATTTGGTGTTCCAAGCCAACTCTTAACCAATGTACCACTCGGCTGGCCCAAGAGGTAAACATTCTTGTTTCCCGCTCCCCACCTCCAAGCATTCAAGCCCTTAAGCCTCTCTAGCCAAATGCAAATGTCTGGCAGTAATTTTCAGGGCACCATGATAACACTGAGGTCCTGCCTCAAGCTTCGGTTCAGTCAAATTGCCCTCCCAGAAGTACTCCTTTCTACCGTTTGGCCAAACTCCCAGCCTTGTGGCCAAATTGCTCTCCAGTCAGGGACCAGCTCATTACCTGTTCGTTCCTACACCCTCCTTCAAATTGCATCCACAACCCTGCCATGCTGCCCCCAAACTGATGGCCTGAGATGTACAGCTACACATCTTATGGATGGCTCTACTCACCTGAGAACCATTCACAATGCAAGCATCACTTACATAAGACCAGTACTCCTGGCAGGACACAACTTTGCACTGTTTCCACTAGGTTGCTACTTTCTTCGTGTGATATTTTTTAGTCAGACTGCACTGTGGCCCTTCTTACTATTAATTCCCAGGATAGCAGATGTCACAATCCCCTCTTTTCATATCTACTGTTACAGCTTCCCTTCTCTGGATTCTCACCTCTCATTATGCTCCTTTTAGTCATCCTAAACATTTCACCATTTCTGAACACGCCCTGCCCTTCAACCTTTTCACATTGCTATTCCTTCTGAATGGAATGCCCTTCATTGTTTTCAGCTAACAAATTCTCGTATCCTCTGCACTTGAGCTCAATGTCACCTGTCTAGAAAGCTTTTCCTATTCTACCCTTCAAGTTAATTTCTTTCCTGTGCTCTCACCACGCTTGATACATACCTCTCCCTCCCTAGACTCTGATCTCTTAGAAGACAGGAACTGTGTCTTATTCATCTTTGTGCCCCTAGCATTCAACCTAATGCCTGGCTTGTGGTAGGTCTTGACAAATATTTCTTGAATGAATGAATGAATGAATGAATGAATGAATGACTTTGCATTCATCTTCAGGTCATCTTTATGTATAGTAATGGCCCATCAGGGACTGTCTTTGGAACCCATAGCTGGGCATTGGGAAACTGTCCGGATTCTGCATTTGTGAGTCATTATGAGCCCACTGAAACTGCTTATTTTATAGGGGACTCTCTTCCAGCCTGACATGTCCAGTGTGTTTCCAAGTGTGAAATCATATTGTTGGCATTTGTTACCTGATTGTGCAAGGAATTAGTCAAACTTCCCAGTGGGATAATGTAGGGCATGGCCCAGCACCTTACCAATAACGGCTCTCAGGTGCCCACCTGGGAGTACCATCTTTCACCCTTCTCCTGCCTTAACACACCAGAGCATTTCACAGGTGCATATTCATCAGCTTGGCAGGGCTACTAAGGGTAAAGTTCTGTCACCTGATGTTCACCTTACCTTGCCTCTGGAACCAAGGACCTGCAGAGTGCTCAACAAACAGGTGCTACCTGGCTTAATTTCACTCCAATATGTGCCTCTGTTTCCTGCAGCTGCCTGAGTGTCACATGTGCCTGGCCCAGGGGAGCTGAGTAGCATAGAAACGCACCTGCTGGTGAAGGTCTCACTTGGAAGTATGAGGAAATCGACCAGAAGACAGATGTTTATGCTTGAGTCTAAACTCTGTCATGACTTAGAAAACTAAATGATGGTGATTAAGAGCATCTGAGTCCCAAATGTTATTTTAATGCAATCTGACATTGGAAGTTATGTAATCTTTTCCCTTAGTTTCTCTACTTGTACAACAGAGACAATGATAGAGCCTCCTTATGAGTTATTGTGGCAATTTAATGAGATGATGTTTTTAAAGACCTTAGGACAGGCTTAAGCAAAATAAGGACTCAATAAATGAAAGCTGCTTATTTTATTATTATTATTATTAGTAGTAGTAGTAGTAGTAGTAGTAGTAGTAGTAGTAGCAGTACTATTATTAGACATGTTGACCTTTCTGCAAATTGGAGTTTCTATGTCACAATGGCCAGCTGGTCAGCATCCTAGGTTGGCCTCTTAAATCAGGTGTCACGGGAAAGGCAAGACATTATGCTGCCAAGCTTCTCTCCTCACTCACTATGCTGTCTGACATTATAAATCTCATCTTCTGTGTAACACCCAAGCTTCACAAGTCATTTCTTAATATTTCTTTGGGTTCTGGAATTTGCTAAGCCCATGAATTCCTTCTTAACACATTAAAGCTGAACTAGTCCTCAGACATCGCCTCATCCAACCCACTTATTTTAAAGACTGCTAAGGATACTGAGCTCTGAAGAGGGGATGAGACATGCCCAGTGTCACATATGTAGGGGGTGGTAGAGCTGGAGCCAGAATCAGGTTTCCAGATGTGATGGTCCTCCTCTTTCCAATACATTTTGCTGTCCCTCCTAGAGTCATGTTCTCAGAGGCTCAAGTCATGCCTTCACTTAGTCTTAGAGTTCCCAAGGCCACTTTGGTCCTTTCTGAGTAGCCAGCTATTTCCTTCCCTTGGTGAGGAACTTGACAGAGGCCCAAGTATAGCTCTTCATGGGGAAGTCTGGTGCTGGGACAGGATACCAACTATGAAACGCATGCTCATGTCATCACCCAGAGACCAGGGACCCCAGCACCAATCAATGGAAAAGCCTCACTCTTACCCTTCCAAATTCAACAAACCCACCCCCACCTTGGGGGAACAGTGGGTTTTAAAAAGAATTGAGACTGGACTACTGTTTTGCCCTAGTTCTCATTTTACAGGTAAAGAAACTGAGGCTCATGGAGGTTAGGGAACAGGCTCAGGTTCACACAGCTTCACTTTCAATCCAAGTCTCTTTGACTTTAGTGAAGTGGTTAGGGTTACATCTGTAAAATGGAAACTGGGGTACTTATAAAATACATTGCTATGAGGATTAGATGAGCTCGCGAAGATGAAAGTGCCATTGGAAGAAGAGTCATTTGAGGGAAGGAACCATCTTATTCATCTTTATATCACCAGTGCCCTGACATATTGTTGGTAATCAATACACTTTAAAATATATATATATATGAATGTATAAATGAATGAATGAATGAATGAATGAATGAATGAGCCACCTAGCGGAAGTGCCTGGAACACAGAGCTTTTTAATAAATGCTTCCTTCCCTCCCTCCCTCTGGAGGGTGGCAGCCAGATCTATAACCCTTGTGCCTGGCACTTGGTAGGCCTTGATGAGTGTGTGTAGGTGGGATGAGGGACTCTCAGAAGCACTGAACCTTTGAGGCCATAGGGAAATGTGTGTCTCTTCAGCCACAAGCAGAGGCCAGTGCTCCAAGCTCCAGGGACTGGTGTGCTTCTTTGGCCAGGGCTTCGCCCCACCCACCCTGGCCCAGTAGTTACCCAGCTGCATGTACCAGGGGAGGACAGTGGCAAATCCTTCCAGCTGTAGAAGAGCTGGCAATGGGGATGTGGCCACCAGTGAGCAGAGGATGTAGTCTGCCCAGTCAGACCCAACTTCATGCCATTCCATTCCTCCATCCCGCCTCTCTCTGTTTTCTTGGGGCTTCAAATATCAGTCCCCTGTGTCTGGTGAATGAGTAAATGAGTGTCTAGAAGAGTGCCAGGCATATTGTAGGTGCTCAATAAATATTGGTGGAATGAGTAAGTGAATAAATGAAAACAGGACTGAAGGAAGAGACAGGCTGACTGATGCGTCTATTTATTGGCACAGGGTCCTACAGGGCCAAGACCATGCCCTTCCCACCCTCTTCACTGTAAAAATAAACTCTGTTCTTTCTTCTCCCTGCTCTATCTGCTTTCCTGCTTGGTCCAGGGAAACTCAGCCACTCTCTAAGACTTGTTGCCCAAGACATAGGAACTAGCACCCCCTACACATACACACTTCCCCTCTGAGCCCAGGGAAATCAGGAGAGAGCAGGAAGGCTTGTAAAGCCTCTCAGGCTTCCACTAAGAGCTGAGTGCAGTTGGTCTGTCCGTAAGGGTTGGAAGCATATGGGAAGCAGCAGCATGAGGAACATGGGCAGGGGGGCAGCCCCTGACGGGGATGCTGAAAGGAGCTGAGTCCACTCCCAAGTGAGCACTGTGTGAGCCTCTGGGAGAAGCATGGGAGGCACACCACCCACACCCTGCGTGGTCAGAGTATGGCAGGCACAGCAGGCCTCATGGCCACCAAGCCAAGACAGTTTGGGAGCAGAGAGGCCGACTCCTTCCTGTGGGAGCTGGTGCTCCCTGCCCAGGCCTCCTCCAGGCAAGTTGACATGGATGGATGTCACAGTGAATGGTGGGAGCTCTGCTGGAGGCAGGGGCGCCCCCAAAGCAGAGGCACAATGTAGGTGACTGAGCAGGGACTAGGACTCATGTCATGTGTGGTGTGGAGGGGCTGGACCCAGCCTAGCTGGCATTTGCCTTCTCCAAACTGCAGAGCAAACAGCCTTGCTGGGCAAGCTGCCGCAGGCCCTAGCAACAGCCAACCATTTCTCCCCAGACCCAGGTCTACCACACTTCACATAGCTGCCCTGGGTTCATGGGGGAGCCGACAGGGCAGCCGAAGTGCCGGAGGAAGTCACGGGAGTTGGAGAGAGTGCCCAGCACGCGGAAGCGGGCAGGGCTGTGGGGGTCGGTCACCAGCCCCTCGTGAGAGCTCTCGGGTGTGCGGACCGAGCACCACACCTGCAGGCCAGGACAGACACGGGGACATATGGTGTCTAGTGTGGGCAGGGCCACAGGCTTGGCTATGGCAGAGCCATCCCAGGGACGTAAACCATCACTGCCTTGCCCCTCAGCTCAGGAAGCCTCAGGGACACAGGCAGGGGCTCAGCCAGCATCTCAGTCCCAACCCCTTGCTATCAGCACTAAAGGAGGGGATTGCGTCCTCCCTCCCAAATTCCTTGAAGGCCTTTCAAAGCTGCCCTGGAGCTGGGGTTGCCCAGGGTGGATGTGTCTGAGGGGAAGAAGCCCAGCCTCCAGAGGCTGCCTGCTGTAGTGCTAAATACCTAGAGGAGACCCTGCCTGAGTTACGCTCTGCCACTTACTTTATTCCTGGGTAGCCCTGGGTGAGCCACTTTGTCCCTGACCGTTACTTTCCTCCTCCACAGCCACCTCACAGGAAAATGGTGGGGATGGGTCCTGCTCCCCGCCCCACCCCCCTCAAGCAGGGCAGCCCTGCCTTTGAGATCTACAAAAGCCTCCTGAAGAATTCTCCTTGCTCAGGCCTCCTCACATGCTTTGTTGGGCACCAGCCAAAAGGTTCTGGGCACAAGGACTCCCCAGACCACTTTCCACACCCCAACTTTGGCCCCATTTCCCAGTCCCTTTCCTGCATGCCCCAGACTTCTAATGGCACACCCAGGAGGGAGTGGGAGAGAGGCAGACCCCAGGCCACCCTGGAGGGCAATACCTGGGCAAATCCCACAAAGAAGAGCTGGTGGTTGGTGAGCCCCACGGCTGGCAGCTGTTGCTCCTCCCCGTGCTTTCTCAGCCACGCTTTGTAAGCCTGGGGTTGGGCACAGGGGCGGCAAGTCTGTCAGGGCCAGCCCACCACCTCCACCCAGCACCCTCCCTCCCGGGTTGGGTGGGCCTCAGCAACTGGAAGGCTAGCCAGGCCACTCACGTTGTAGGCAGCCTTAAGCCCCCCGTTGTCAGCAATGTTCTCCCCCAGCGTCTGGCGGCCATTGAGCTTCTCCCCATTGACCTGGTACTGGCTATACTGCTCCTCCATGCAGGCCGTGTGATTCCGGAAGGCTGCCAGTGACTCATTTTGCCACCACGGCCGTAGGTTCCCTTCCTTGTCATACTCGCGTCCTGAGGAGAATGAATCTTTGCACCCCACCAAAACCAGAGCTCAACCCTTGGGGTCAGGAGCTCCCTCATCCACTCTGGTCCACAGACTCCAGGGTCCCTGGGGCCTGCTCCCAACATCTCAAGGCCTTGCAGGAGCCACTGGGAATTCTAGGCTGCAGGGGACAACTCCATGGGCCACTACCTTGGTCATCAAAGGCATGTGTCAACTCATGGCCCATCACCACGCCGATGCCACCAAAGTTCAGGGCCCTGGTAGGTGAGGAATGCTGAGTGAGGACATGGTAGGAGGGACTTCTGGACCCCACCTCCAGCCTTGCTGCCAGCCACCAGGCCCCAGCACCCAGCTCCTCCTGCCTCAGACACACTTGGGGTGGTTGCGGGCATAGAAGGGGGCTTGCAGGATGCCAGCAGGGAAGACAATTTCATTCTTGGTTGGAAGGTAGTAGGCATTCACAGTCTGGGGGGTCATGCTCCACCTGGGGGAGGAAGACAGAGAGGCTAAGGCTCCTGACTCTCCTGATGCTCCTCCCAGCTCAGCAGCCCTGACCTACCTCCTGCAAGGACCTATTGTCCCTGGTTTGGAATCAGTCTTGCCCCCACCCCCAGCCCTGGAAACCTCCCCTGTCTCTCTTGCTGCCCCAGTGTCTGTGGCCCTCCATTCTCACTGGTCCCGGCTGGGAGGCTTTCGGAGCTGGTCCGCCATCACTTTAGCAGAGAAGTTGTACAAATTCAACATGTTCTGGAAGAAGGAATCTTCAGAGACTTCATACTATGGAAATGATGGGAATTAGAACGCAAGCAAGAGAGCATGTTTGAGAAGATCATAGTGCCAGCTTGGCTACTAATTAGTACCTCTCTGAGCCTCAGTTTCCTCAATTATAAAATGGGAGTAAAATATCTGGTAAATAATAATCACCAATATTTAAAGAGCACTTACGAAGCAGGTGCCTTTTTCCTTTTCACAACAGGTGTCTCCTTTTTGTCTCACAACAGCACTATGATGTAGGTATTAATAGGACCCTCCCCCCATTTTACAGATGGAGAAACTGAGACTGAGAAGTTATATAACTTGTCCAAGGTTACACAATTAGATAGGGGATTTGACTCAGGTTTTACTGCAAATCCCTCTGCTTAACAATGCATTGTGCTAATGTCTGGCCTGCAGCCTGGCACAGGGCCCGCGTTTGAGCAATGTCTGTTGCCTGAATTGCCTCTGAAAGGACCCAGTAAGCATCTGCTTCCCTCCTAGTGCTTGAGCCTCTATTGCTGAACCCAGAGAATAGTGCCCCCCATGGGACTGAAACTCAAAATTGGTGAGCAGAGGTACTCACCCCATCATAAACATCATCAAGCTCTTTAGGCTCCAGGATAAAGTCCGGGAAACCGATCATATCATAGATGGCATCTGCCTGAAGAGACCACGGTAAAGGGTTTCCCTCCCCAGGCTCCCCGCAAAATTGTATCCTCCATCCCCACCTCAAGATGGCGCCCCAACCCTGGCCACGGCTCACTTTCTCCTTGGCGGCCCGACGGGTCCTCTCATCCATCCATGGCAGCTGATCCAGGGCCTCCTCAAAGGCAGTCCGGATTTCGCTGATCATCCCCTCTGCCTGGGAGAGAAGGAGCATAAGTCTGCCTCCCACGCACATTAATGAATCCTCTCTCCGCGTCCACCCTTCTGCCCCATCTCTGTCCTTCCAGGGGAGCATGTGGGAGTGCTGAGCATCCGGGGAGGATGAGAGGGAAACACGATTTGTGAGGTGCTGGAACTGCAGGTGGTTTTTTCCCTAATCAACCAAAAAATTTAATTGATAAGCTAACTGAATTAATATTATAATTTAATATAGTGCATTGATTTTTTTTAATCTGACTATTAAGGGAAGGCATTTATAGCAGAAAATTTGGAAAATTTAGCAGAATCGAAGAATAGACCACTTAGAATGCCTCACTGAGATAACTTCTTTTAACATTCTGATTATCTATTTCTAGTGTCTTTCCCTGCCCAGATATACGTACGTAATATGAAATTATGTTGTGAGATATATATATATACACACACACACACACACACACACACACACACACATATATATATATACATATACTTTTTTTCACTTAAAGATAAATGATCAGTTTTAAGGATGCCTCATAGTCCATCCTAACAACAGTTTATTTTCCCATTCCTCTATGATTGCACATTTAAGCTATTTTCATTCTCCCTTATTATAAACAACACTGCCATAAACATCCTTGTAGATAATACTTTAAGCACATTCATTATCATCTCCAAATAAATAAATAAATATTGTTTTTCCATTTAAATAGGTAACATAAAGGGGCCGGCTGAGTGGCTCAGTTGGTTAAGAGCTCACTCAAGAGTTTGAGCTCTGAGCAACAGTGGTTCGAGTCAGCCCGAGCTGAGCAGCCTCTGAGCTGCCAACAGGTGGCAGGATGGCTCAGCTTAAAAAATAAATAAATAAATAAATAAATAAATAGGTAACATAAACTCATTATAGAAAATTTGGAAAACACAGAGAACTTTAAAGAACAAAAAGAATCCCTCATAATCTACACACCTGAAGTAATCACTATTAATTTGTTAATGAATTTCCTTCAAGTTGTTTTTCCTATATGTACACACAAACATGAACAGTGAATTTTAACAAACACAAGGGGTCGTGTTGGGAGAACCTCAAAGACTCACAATTTCCTTGCTTTGCCGGTCGAACGTGGCCTTCACAAAGAGGGAGCCCAAAGCGAAGCCAAGGGCATCATCTGTGTTGGAGATGCAGGTCTGCCACCTTGGCATGCAGGACTGTAAGGGACAGAGAGCCGGGCCTCCCAGAGACGGCTCTGTCCTCCAGGCTGATGGCCTTTCTCTGTCTCTGAGGCCAGCCCCTCTCAGCCCTGGACAATGGAGGCCTGGGTATGGGGTGCCATCTCTCCCATGGACTCCAAGTAAAATGAAGGGCAATATCACACAATGTGCCAACACCAGAAGCAAAATTTTAGGAGGAACTCTCAGAACTCTCCTCATCTTAAGCTTCTAACAGGCCCATTGGCGTCCAGTTGTTTCTTTGCTCAGCTCCACCTCAGTCTTATATCCAGTCTGTCCCTCATGCCAGAAACCTGGGAGTCACCTGCTTCCTCCATCTCCCTATGTCTATATTCAATCTATCACCAGTTTCTACAAACTCTACTTCTTAATCACCTCCCCCATCCAACCCATTGCCACTTCCCTACCCTACAAAACTATCATCTCTTGCCTGAAGATTACAGTGGTCTCCTAACTAGGCACTCTGACTCCATTCTCATGCCCCTTCCTCTGCCACCCCCCCCCCATCTTCCATTTAGCTGTCAGAAAGATGATCTAATACATAAATCTAATTGTGTTACTCCTGTCCTTAAAACCATCCCATGTTCCCCATCTCTGAAAGAATTAAAGCCAGACTTCTTAACACAACATTCAGGTCTCTTCATGGACTGTCCCCGACCCACCTCACCACCCTCAGCCTCTCAGCTGCCCTGTTCTCAAGCTCATACCAGAACACGTGCAAACCCACCCCGCTCCCTCTGGCCTCTGGGAAAGTGCATATCCTGTTCCTTATGCCTGGTATGCCCTTCTCCCTTGTTTTCTTGATGAAGTCATTCTTCAAATGTCATCTCTTCAAAGAAGGCTTTCCTGATGCCCCTACTCCCCTCCCCCACCCAGGATAATGTGCTGTCCCCACCTCTATCCTATAATACAAAAAAGATCTTTCACTCAATGTGAGCACTTATCACCCCTAAGTAATATATGTTTGTTTACATGTCCACTTTCCCCCACTTAACTGGCCATCTTGAAACTAAAAACTGCACTAATTCATCTTCTTCACCATCATCATCAAAGCTAAGTGCTGCCTATAATACCATGCACTGGGTAGGTGCTTCATTTACATGAACTCAGTTAATCCTCACAAAAACCCTGCAAGATATTCCTGTTTTACACACCAGGAAATGGAGAATCAGAGAGGCTTGGTGACATGCCTGAGGTCCCATAGGCTAAAAAATGGACGAGTTGGGATTGGAACCCAAGTCAGCTTAATTCCTAATCCTGTGCTCCATACTACACCATGAGGCATTTGATGTCTGACACACAGTAGGTGTAAAACATCAGCTAGATTGGGCCGGAAAGTGGGGGCAGAGAAAGAGAGCCCACCTTTTTGGTGCCATAGAGGGTCTCCAGCAGCTTCTCTTGCGCAGACTCAAAGCGTCGGTCCAGGCTCAAGCTTGTTTTCTGCACTAGGTTCCAGATCAGGTAATTGTTCAGGATGCTGGCAGGGCAGCCGGACCAGAGCATAAGGGAAGAGAAGGTGGGTCACCATTTCCACCCCAAACCAGCTCCACAAATGTGCAGGCAGCAGGAGTCCTGAGGGTCATATGTGGGAGCTGTCCCAGAATCCCTCTCACTCACCCTGGGTCCACACACCTGCCTACAGAAGTCAGGTTGGAGCAATGTGTAGGAATACAGGTCACAAGTAGATCCCCTGAAGCCTTGGCTGAGGGGAGTATCCCACAGACATTCTGTTTTGATGTTTGGAAGGTCAAAGGCCTTGTCAAATGCTGCTCTGTATCTGGCTCTGCTAGTACGCTATGCCCAGTTCCTGTTTGGGACCTATACCGAGCCCTGAGCCCCACCCCCACACCTGGGCTCCGTGCGGTTGATGAGCTCTGACACCTGCTGCAAATAATTTGTCCCATACACCACCACGGGCTCAGAGTCACCCAGCTCCAGCGGTGACAGCAAGAAAGACAGGAACTCCAGCCAGTTCATGGAAGGCGCCAAGGCCTGCAAGCAAAAAAATATATATATATATATCAAGCCTCCCTACCTGCCCGTCTGGCTTCCAGCAGACCCTTCACCCATTGATACGTTCGAGCCTGAGAGCTCTTCCCATTAACAAGGCAACAGCTACTAGCTGTTTGGTGACCCCTCCCTTCAAGAAACCCTTTTCCTGGCTTGAGTGCCCCTCAATCTGGGAGCCCTATCACTTACACAAGGAAAACCACCATGGGTGATATTCAGCTAGGGCACGAATACTCACAGATTTTCATAAGAATTGATAACATACCACTGCCCTGACACCACCCAGCTTTCCTACATACCTGGCCTCTCCTCCAGAACCCGCCTTGCCCAGCTTTTCCACAATCAAACAACTAAAGAGTTGATACCTGGCGCAGTAAAGGCCCTCCAGGAAATGCTCCCATGTCTCTTCTGATTGTTTTGTGGATATCTTGGACAAGTTGTTATAGGCTTTTAACATAACCTCTCTATGAATCCCCAGGCAACAAAAAAATGAACAAGGGATGGCCCCGTGAAAGGTGGCCTAAAGTGGATACCACTTTTCTTTCCAGGATAGCAACTGTGCAGCTGGGAAGCTAAGAGAAGGCAAGGAAATGAGGAAAATATTGGCTGCCTCAAGAAGATGGCCTGAAGAGAAGCTGGGCAGTCTGTGCCAAGGGCTGGCCCCTCCCAGCTGTCTCTGTTCCCTGCCGGCCCCACCTGCAGCTCTGCGATGCTCATCTTGTGATAGATCTTCTCCTCATCCCGACGCTGGTCCTGGGGCACTGTGAGGTTGGCCACTTGTATCTCCAACTCCAGCACCTGCCGCATCTGCTCCCGCGTGGAGGCTGGCTGTCCGCCTAGCAGCATCCCCAGCTCCTCCATGTAATCCAGGTAGGCAGTAAGCACCTGTCAAAACCCCAAGTCATCCTCAGAGCCCAGCAACAAGTCCTACCCAAGGCTAAGAGGATCTGTTCTGGCTGCCACCTCTGCTTACTATGTCTTCTGCTGACCCTCAGCACTGCTCAGCACCAAGTCCCAGTGGCCCTCCTCCCAGAGACCACTCCTCACTCTCACCCAAAGCCCCATCCTGGGCTCCCTTTATTGCCAAAGGCCATCTCCTCTTCCACTCTGCTGAAAAGTTTCAGAGCCCTTAGTATTCCATTCTCTGGACTTCAGAGTTTCTCTTTTCATCCACCTCTCCCTTTCCTTGCTGCTGGTGTCAGAGGAAGAGGTTTGAGTATCAAGTCTCCGTAATCCCAGCTCTTAAGGGGTATGGTTAGTTCAACCTGACCACCTAACTTACCCCTTCTTCTCCCTACCTCCTTACCTTCAGCTTGAGACTGACTTTTGATACTTTCCTGAACCTTGCTTTATTCCTAAAATTTTATCCTATCTGAACCTTTGACCCCTGCAGCTTCCCCTAGATGCTGGCACAGGAGACTTCCTGCCCAAGACAACCAGCAACATGCTAAGAGCTGAATCGAGGCTTTCTCTTGTCCTTTCCCAAGCGTTAAACGAAGTGGTTCTCTCCTGCATTATCAAAATTCTCTCCTCTCCTGGCTCAGGTGATGTCAAAACCACACATCTGTTCATACCAGTCCCCACTTTTGAGTTTCCATTTATTGGGGGATAAATGCTAAACTTGATCCACGATGTTTATGCATAATGAGTCAGTCTATATACTTGTCCAGAAGGACTTTGACCCCTCTCCCCTCCTGCTCCCCTCTCTAGTCCATCAATGGGCCATACTCCTTCCCACCTCAGAGCCTTTGCATAAGCTGTTCTCCTTTGCCTAGAACCCTCTCCCTTCACTGCAGTCTACCCTCACCCTAGGACTAGGCTGGTTGCCTGTTACACTCACTCTCAGAAAGCAGTGTTTCTCCTCTATAATAGTCCCAGCAACTATACACCAATTATTTCAACAGGATGTACCCAGTTATTTCACGTCTTCTCCCCCACTTAGAGGGCAGTGGCAATGTCTTGTTCACCACATGCCTAGAATGGAGAATCTGGCTGAGGAATGCTCAGTAAATGTTTGAGAATAAATGAAAGAAAGACAAACGCTTCTCCTGCTTGTCCTACTCCACGGCAGTCTCCTTTACTGGCTCTCTTTCCTCCTACTGCCCTTAAAAAGGATCTCCTTCTTTCCTTTCTCTATTCTTCCTCTTTCTTTTATCTCTCCTACTGCGTTTGTCTAGGTTTCTAAGGAGATACCCCTCAAGCCTGCGGCTCCCTTCAGGCTCATCCTCTCTCCAGGCTTCCACTCAGCTTTCACAACTGCCTGCTGACCTCTCCGTAGAGATGGCATTCAGGTTCCTCAAACTCACATGTCTAAAATGAGCAACTCCAACTCCCTGAGTGTCTGTCACATGCAGGAGCATAAGCTGGCATCCTGTCCCTCCAAACACTGTATGAGGTAGATGCTGTGATCCTCTTTTACAGATGAAAGACCAGCCTCAGAGAGCTAAATCAACTTCTACCAGGCCTCAGAGCAGGGAGTGGAATCGAGGTCTGAGCCCAAAGTCTGCCCACTTCCTGTGACATCACACTGTCTCCTCTGCCCTAACATGCCCTGAGCTGGTTCTTCCTACAGGCACCCTGCTATTCCACCACCATTCAGGCTGACAGCCTCAACTCTCTTCACCTCTTCCTCCTTCTACTCCTCTCTTCTAACATCCAGTCACCAACAACTTACAATTTGGACTTGATTATATCTTTCGCATCCTCCACTTCCTAACACTCCCTCTGCCACTTCCCCCATTTGGGCCCTTACAGACTCAGAGCCTGGAGTATTACAGAGACTCTTAACTGATCTCCAGGCTCCCTCTCTTGCATCTACTTTTCACACCCTAGCCAAACTGGCTTCCCAAGCACTGGTCACTCCCTCCAGGCTCTGGAGTATGCAGTGGCTCTGAGGCCTATTAAAAAAAAACTCCTGGGCCGGCTGAGTGGCGCGATGGTTAAGTACTGGCTTGGGACGCCAGAGGGCCCCGGTTCGGATCCCACATATGAGGGCCAGTGACACTGCCCTCCACAGCTAAGATGCTGAACAACA